GGGGGTCTGTGATTGGCTGTTACTTACGCGAGATTTGAACGGGACTTACATAGGCGTCGGATCAGATGTAGGTAGGGCGGAATTAAAAAAAATCACAAAATCAAAATCAAAGTAAAATAATAAAATAAAAGGGCATTAATAACAAATATAATAAAAAATAAAATTAAAATAAGTTTATAGCCAAAATAATTAAAGCCCGTACACTACATCAGATTTTAATCAGATTGGAAAAATTATAGACACAAATTGCTACTGTAGATGCACGACATGACGCCCGATAAAAATTTTGATGCACTTTCAGTCTTAAAATGGCTGCCATTAGGCAATCTTGATTCAACTGGACATGTACACAATTGGTCACAAGACGTGCATCAAGGTCCTATTCAGTTTAAGCCAAATCCATCCACAAACTAAAGTTTACCAACAATTACAAGACAAATTGCTAAACAATTTTGCTGATTTTTGAGGGAAATCAATGTATGTATGGTGTTTACAAACTAGTCCTATGCGCTGCCAAGTTGAAAGTTGATAGAATTAGACATGGCAAAGTCTGTATTGCGACACCAAAAACACGCATTGGTGAATGTCTGAAATTATTGACATACAATGGAAACAGTACCATATATTTACCATATTCCAAACATGTTTTGGTATTTTGGGAGATTATGTCACAATTTCCAATTGCATCAACTGATCAGATTATTAATAGCCCATTGAATTTCAGGGGTGTGGTAACACATGAAACGGGCACAAGTCTCCATTTTGGACTATGCCCAAACAGGGACTAGTAAAACGGTCTTGTGATGTTCTATACACTCACTAAAAAGGCATGCTAGAAATAAGTTTTTTAAATGCTCAACATGAGTGGATTTAAAATAGAAATTTAACAAGTTCAATGATGGGGACAGTATCTTCTACAATACCTGGGAATCACCATGACCCTCGGCAACTGTGTGTAAATCTAACAAAGCCTGATTGACATTCTTCTCTAAAGCCAATGCAGCCTGCATAGCATCCAGTCCAGTGCCCCACTCGTCACGTTCTGGTTTTGTGATATTCTGCAAGACAACACGTCCACCACGTTTGTTCTGGAACTTCATTAACTTTTCTGCATGCTCACGTTCCTCATCAGAAGAGTCCTTGAAGAACTTGTAAAAACCTGGTAATGCTACATCATCACGATCAAAGTAGAAAGCCTGCAAAGACAAGTACCATTGTTGAGTGGTTTTAAAGTTTACTTTGGGGAAGAGAAAACTTCTAGTAAACAACATGACCCAACAATCATTTTTTAAGCAAATGACCTTCATAACATTGCCTAAGCGAGTCAAAAAAGACTAAAGGTTAGACCAGCGCTGTGTTCAATAAGGGAAATGTTTGCAAGCTTCTAGAGTGTTTTTCTATCGAACGCTGTGAGGTGACTCACTGGCATAACAAAAATTGCGGAAGGATTCAAAGACATTTCATGCTCTGAACCTACCCTGGTTACATTTTTATACTTCCTATTTTGTAAATTAAATAATTAGATTTTTTTGGCTGGTTATGTCATAAACATTCAATTTGAAATATTAAAAATGCACAGCAACAAATATTTTTGTCTTTTAAAATCATTAACATTTACCAATAACTGTTAAAATAGAATACAACTATGGACACTATTATAGATATTTTCCATTCATCGTATCACTCGCAAGTAGAGATGTTCTGTGAAGATAACAGTTAATGCCACATTGAGGTGTGTACCTATCTGGCTTATGTTTGCATACACTGATATTCAGCGAGGTGCGCCAAAACAGAAAACCTGCAACTGTTGTTGTTGTTGTTTTCCAACACAGGCAACCTTTATTTCTGACATATCAGTTATCTCTGCCACCAAATGTTTGTTCACTTGCGCCTCACCACAATACCTTGGCAGATTCTATTCAGCCTACGTGCATTTAATTGCGCCTTCTTTTTTTTCTTCAAGGCATTGTCAAATCACTCGTTATGGCTGTATCAAGGACGAAATAGATACATGTCGTTTACAATAAAAAATTTCTGTCCTAACCACAGTAAATTGTTTTTTATTTTATCAATTACTGAAAATCAAAATAGGTCAGTATACTCTATTAAATGTTTACCCTATTTTTTACTATAATACTGAAGAAATACAGCTGTGAAACTCGGCCACTATGAAATATGAACATAGATTTTCAACTCATTCGTTGAAAACATAGCAACTGAATTTACAGTAGGTCTTCAGGGTATAAACTGAACTGATAAGCTATGATTTTAATATTTAGTTTCTTTGATTTGTTGGTTTGGTGTATTAACACACTGTTTGCTGAAACCCTCCACGGTAAAAAAAAAGCCAGCAAGCTATGAATAAAATAAAGAATAATACGAGAATAATTAAAGCCGCAAGCGGCGTCACCGGGGCCCAAGCTGACAAGATTCTGTTTCATAATTAATGAGGTCACATGTTAGACAATCAGGTAGCTCTTATTATCAGTAACATGAGGTCGAAATAAAGT